TGGCTCATTGGATGGTCTGCTGCTCTTTGAATCTCTCTCCGTCCTTTCATTTGAAACAGGTCTGCAGACATATTCCCCCTTTCACCGAGAGCTCAGCGGCAAAGGTGGATGGGTAATTGTGGTCATTAGGGGATGCCTGATGTGGTACCATCCACAGCTTCTGCCGAGCCCCAGCTGTGCCCCTGCCCATGGGGTATTGGGGAGCCTCGGTGGCTCCTTGCCCGTGGCCCTGGTGCCCCGGGGGAAGAGCTGCCCTGCTCTTGACAGGGGTGAGCCCGTGGCTTGCAAAATCGTTTCCCTATTTCCACTGTCTCTTGAAAAGATAATTTCCTTCTTACTGTCAATAATGTAAATTCCGTAACATGGTTAGTGTGCAGAAGGCCAGTAAATAATTTAGGAAGCAGCCTCTGTTTAGAGTGCATCAAATACTAATATAGAGAAGGAGAAATCCCTGCACATCAGTTACAGTAATTGGGGAAGGCACCAGTCCAGAGGGTAATGAGCTCCATTTTTAAAGCACGAGGAAATTAGATTCTTATAAATGTCAAACGCAGTTATTGTCCTCTTTCCTTGAAACAGAGCTGAGCTGGCTGGAGCCCATTGTCTCTCAATCAGCTTTTGCTATGGATTAGACACATCCCATCTCACACTAGGAATGTGCTTATTAGAAAAAATATCACTACACAAAGCGTACAAGCTTTAACACTCAACAAATGTACTAATGGGTACATGTACAATAAAACCCAATATCGTGTTACAAACCTTAAGCTGACCTGAGATAATATGATACAGAAATCTTAAAGGATACAGATGAGTGTTTTCTTTGTGTGCTACATTCTGACTACCTGGGATTTTAGTTTTCAAATAAAGGAGGTAAAATGAGGGAAGGTAACTTTTCCTCTTGGCTACTTATGAAAAAAGCAGCCAGTAAGTTGTCTTCATAGTGAATATGCTTGTAATCAGGCCATGTCCAAGCACTTTGTGTACTTTACTAGTGTCTCCTGGGTAAGTGTGGCTTCACAGAGGACTTTCTCCGTCCACATTTTTTCAGTTCTCTCCTGGGGAAAAAAAAACAGGTGGTTATTTGTTCATACATCAAAGCTAGCTCTGTGAATTACTTTCATTATAAAATCTCACCAGTATGTGTTAAGACTCCACAATTCAGAAAAATGGGTATCAGTTGTTTGGGGAGAATAAAATGTGGGAATAAAGGACTTCATGAAATTAAAGTCCTTTGCTGCATACCTATTTTTAACTTCTGACTTGAGGAGGACAGTCACTTGTCCTTCTGTAGCTAGAGGTTGTATCTTGTTTTCTCTCTGGGGTAGGAGCTCCGTCGCTAAGTGGCACAATCCTTCCTCATATCAGAAGGCTGAAGGATGGAGCCAAGCTCTTGATTCCCTTTTGCAATGATGAGATACAGACTCAAACTACTTGTGTGGACTTCACCACATTAATCCAAGCTGAGCGATGCAGTACGCTGTTTCCAAGACGGTCGTGTGTCAAACATGTACTGTGGACATGCTGTGTTGGGGACCCTACCCAGAACTGCTGCAGGATGGCTTTAAAGATGATGTGGTGGGGATAATCAGAGGGTAATCTGTGCCATCTGTGCAGAAAATGGCTGTATGCGAAAGCAGATGGGCTGTTCATTTTTGGGTTTCTTTTTCTGGAATCCTGTATTTACAAGTTCTTTTTTCCAGTTGCCTTTTTAACAATGTCTAGTCTTCCCTCTGATCTTCTCCATATCAGTTTGTGCTCCTTTTTTTCATTTCTGCTTCTACTGAATGAAGCTCCTGGTGCTGCCCATAGAAAACAAACCGTAACTTGAGACTTCTATTTTACACAAGCAATGGATATTAAAAGATATTCCTAGCATATGTCACCAGACATGTGAATAGCACTTTCCAATTAAAACTCTAGGAATTTCTACTGGTTGCTTAAAAACCCTGCAAAACATTGAACCATAGACTTGAATCCATTAACACCCATCATGGAAAAAAGATCCAGCTATTTATATGCCATTTATTTAAATTTGGTTTCGGAAGCTAAAATGAGCTCAACTGTTGGGGAAAAACATCTTGAGTACCTTAGAAATATCTTCAGAGCCTGGAACAATCACAAAGCAAATTAAACAAGCTTCCTGTGATTTTGGACAACTTTTTAGTTCTGATAACTTTCCTTAATGTCTGCACTACAGCTGCATCAACCCCTGTAAATTAAATAAAGAAACAATTCAAGGCATCTCTGATGTAGCCTGGTGGTTAAATGGTATTCAGCAGCTGGTGATTAAAACATACATATGACTCAAATCACAAATCCAAAGTCAGCATTTACCTTCCACTATTCTCATTAGCTAGGCACTTCCCTTAATTGGTACTCTAGCACAAGTGTTATTAACGGGCCGTTCTGGCCCAGGGCTGTGAAGTGCTGGCTCCCTCCCTGCTGCCTCTCCCCGCGGAGCTCTGCGGGCCTTTGCCAGCTGCGTTGGAGTCGCTTTTCAGGACTTGCAAGCGTTTTGCATGGTTGCAATGCTCAGGTAAAAAGTAGGTTTCCCACCCGCGCCTCCGTGATGGTGTGTGTTTGCCCTGGTCACAGGCACATCTTCTTGCGGGCAGATCCACCTTCTGGCTTTCATACCCCCTCTACCTTCCTCACATAGCCAAGATGCATCCTGCTTTCCTTTTCAGTGAGATGTCTCCTCCTGACCATTATGCTTATTAAACCACTAACAGCCACAAATTTTCTAGGCAGTGTGCCTAGCTTGGCTGCAATGTTCGTTGCACGGTCCCTGGCCCCGTTAGGTCTGCGGGCAGCCTGGCAGCACACCTTCCTGTCTTCTCTGTAGGCTGCTCAGGTTTTACATGTTACCCCTCTGAGATGGTCTTCGGTGGTCCGGAGAAGGTTGTGGGTTTTGTTTTGGCTCTCCCTGCGGAAAGCAGGTGGGGTGGTCCTCTGCCGCTGTGACATGCACAGCTCTGCTGATGCTCCAGACTGGTGGGGACGCAGCGTCGGGGAGCAGGGCAGGAGCAGAGTGGGTGCTCGGCAGGGGCAGCCGCTGGCTTTTCTGCTTCTGCAAGCCCAGACGGCTCCCGCTGGGGCACCCGATCAGCAGCATGTCTCCTGAAAGGGTTTTCTCTTCTTCCTGTTTTGGTTTTGGAAGCTGCTGGAGGGCGTGGATTAACTGGAGATAGGTGACGACACAACAGGTTGGGTAATCCTGTGTTTTCCTGTAGTTTGGCATTCCGCGTTAAATATAGCCATCAGATGGGGTTATTTATGTATTCCAGCTGCCTGTGGCTGGTGTGCTTGTGTGTCAGGGCATCCTTATGCCCACCATGAGTTTGCTTGTCAGCTTCACGCTGGCACAAAGCAGTGAGTCTGCGTGCTCTTGCATCGGGAACCTTCTTATATAATCCTGCAACTGTATTACTCCGTATTGAGCAATTGTTTTTTTGTTGGGATCTGATGGCTCTTGAGTATGTAGCACCTGCACAGTAAAAACCACTGTGCTTCTCAGGTAAAAGAAATCATTCTGCTATCAGCACACAGATGTTATGAAATGTTGCTGTGTTTGTACAACAGTCAGTTTTCCAATATTAACTCAGCTGTTTCCCATTTATTTTTAAATACCACATGGGTCCAATCCTCCATATAACCTAATTTTAAAGATCACTGGAGGTAGAGCAACGAGACTAAGGAAGATGAAGCCTTACTACTAAGCCCGGAGGCTCTTGAGTGCCAAGTTTTCGCCTGAAGTTGTTTTGGCATCAAGTGAAAGACAGGAGCAAAAAGAAGTGTTCATAATTGTAAAGGGCGTGCTGCAGGCTTGCTCCAGTCTGTGTGCCAAAGCCTCAGATGGGATTTTGCGTGGGAAGGACGAGTCTCTCGGTCTCAGGGAGCTCCCGAGTACAGTACTGCGTTGCAGTGTAACCCGTTAGCGTTCTCCAGGTGGCACAAAGACCTGCCTTCATCCTCTTCAACTTAACTGAGGCACCTACTTCGGCAGTGTGCTTGTCCAAGTTTTTTTTCTGTAAAGTGATAGAGAGAAGGAGGCACCTCCTGAGAGCAGACCAACCTTGGTAAGGTGATGCCCCCAGTGTATCCGTTACAGACCTACACCAGCTGTCCTGGCAGCCCATGGAGACCTGGCTCTTACCTTTCAGGCCTGGACTTTGGGGTTAATGAGATGACTCACAAATGCCACATAGCCAAGTAATGGAAACTGAGCAGAAAAAGTGGGCTTAAGTGGATCACGTCTGCCCCCTCCCTTATTGCCTGAAGCCAGCACTGCTGTTAGGAGAGTATGACAGCCAAAGCACGTGCTGCTATTGCTCTGAGGCTGCTGCAGTGAGGGTGAAGGTCTAACTACCATCACATCTCCTTTCTCTTTCGTGACAGGTATAGTTTGGCAGAGCCCAAGAGTAGGGCTGCTGGAGTTGTTTCTGTTGGAATGTGGTGCTGGAAGACAAGTACCATGTCACCTGCTTTAGCTTCCTGTGTTTCTTCTAGAACTGCTTAATTTATCACATTAAATAGATAAATGACCTGTGGGACATGGAAAAATCTAACAGGTCTTTACTGCGTCTTCCACATTTGTTAAAGCTTGCTGGGCACCTCTGGTTAACCATGGTGAGGAGGTTTCACCGAAGGTGCTGCTGCGTGGGATCAGGTTCACAGGTTTCTGTGGATGAGCTCATATTTATATTGACATTCTGCAAGCTGTAGTCATAAGCTTTTGGTGAGCAGCTGGTTGTGTGTAGGTCCTTCTTTTGGCTGACAAGGCACCAAGACAATGGCGCTTGAACATTAGTCCCTCTTATGGATGGCTGATGATGTGAGCCTCTATGGAAATGGGTTCTGCTCTAGGCATCCTCAGCAGCCCTTACTGGGAAAGAGGAAACCTACTGAAGCTGCATTCCCTGCTCCTG